CCGTTTCGTTCCTCAACACATTCCACCCCACAATGTCTCACGTCAATCAACTTCGAACCAATAACATCCGCGATTGACCATTGAGTACGGGTCATTGTCGTTGGGCGCAATAAGTACGGATTATGCTTAATTTAATTAAAAAAATTTTTGGTTACCGTTATTATGTACTCTGTTATTTATGAATTTAATTAATGTTTATTTTTTTGTAGGTTGTATCCCTCCGATGTTTGCTCTCGCTCGATTGTTAAGACATTCCGGGAGTACATTCATTCTTCGGGATGGATGTGGAAAAAAATGAGTCCGGAGACAAAAGATTTTTACTTGGAAAGAATTTAAGGTTCTAATTTCTAAATTTTATTTGATTAATTATATTATTTAATATTTAATTAAATTGTATAAAATAATATGAAAGTAAAGTTAGTAGTGTTTATTATTTTTTTTTGGCGGAAATCATTTAAGTGGGATGATGATTTGAACGAGAGCATAGTTAAGAAAGCATGGAAAATTCTCGCACGGAAGAATTATTTTGACTTTCTTTGTCGTCTAAGGAAAAAACCGAAGCCGACATATCTCTCACAGGAAATATGGGATGCATGGACTACGGAATGGATGAAACCCGAGGCCGTTGCTCTATCCGAGATGGCGGCACGGAACCGTAAGAGCGAGACTAGTAGAGTCAAAGTTGGTCCTTCTAGACATACGGGGGATCAATCAGCCATAGAGAGCACGCCATACGCATAGTAAAAAATATATATTATTTAATTTATTTATAATTTTTTAAAAAAATAAAACCAAAAATAATTAATTAAACATCCGACTATATCTAATATATTTACGTTTATTTATATATGTTTTCGGCGTAATGTGTTGGGTCGTGAACCTGATCCTTATGAGATTTTCTTGAGGACTCATCGGAGAAAGGTTAATGATCGGTTAGTCTTCGTCGATCAACGATCAAGGGTTATGGGAGTAAGTGATAACTTTGAAACATTATTTAATATATGTTAGTTAATAACATTATTTGACAACCGTATTTGATGTGACGTGTTTCATAATTATATAGGAGACCGTACAACGATTAATTAATGAGGAAGAGGTTGTTAGCCGACGGTCGGGAGGGACCGAAGCGACCGCACCCGACATTAATGACATCTTTCAAAGGGCCGTTGGTGGAGGAGATAGTAGGAGGAAGAGGATGTACGGACTCGGCTCACATGCATCTCACTATTATTCAACCGTCAATGTAGGCTCATCTTCCGCTACTTCCAGATTCAATGCAACCGATGAGGCACGGTTGAAGGAATTACATGAGCAAACATCTACAAACACGACGCACATCCATAACTTAGAAGGTACCGTGAACGGCCTACGGGGCCAAGTGGCATCGTTGTTGGATACCACAATTGAGTTGAGAAACAATAGTCGAGAGCAATTTACAATGATGTCACAGATGCGACGAGATGTTCATGTGGCATTTTGAGCATGGTGGTAGTTCATCAACCATTCCCGAGACCGACAACGACTCCACCCGACCTTTAGACGACTCGACCCAATCTCCAGACGACTCCATCCACCCTTCGACCGATCCTGGACATTAACTTATTTTAGATTTTTTGTTTTCTTGTATTAACTGCAATCGATGTACTTGTTTTTTTATTTAACAATAATGTAATTGTTTAGCGATGTTTTAATACATTTTGAATAATAAAAATTTACGTTTATGATATTTTATGAGATTTTTGCTACTTTAAAATTGTTACTTTTACCTCATTTTATTATTGTTTTAAATAAATTTATTTTTTCAATTAGTGACGGTCTTAGAAACGGTCTAGACCGTCGCTAAAAATTAAATATTACCAACGGTCCGGACCGATTGCCAAATTGACCGTTGCCAACAATTTAGCAACGGTCAAGACCGTCGCTAATCCATCGCTATTTAGTAACGGTCATACCAAGGGTTTACAAGACCGTCGTTAATGTTATAACTGTTTACATCGACATTTAGCGACGGAATAGCAACGTTTTAGATCGTTGCTAATTTTACAACGGTCCAAACCATCACTAAAAAACACCGACGACCTTTTTAGCGACGGGTTCGTGACCATCGCTAAACGGTTGCTAAAACGTTTTAGCAACGGTTTTTTTAATTTAGCGACGGGTATGCCCGTTGCTAAATGACATTTATCTGACAGTCAAAACTATTAATCAATGTTTGGAGTCATTTTACTATAATTCTAGTCAAAAAAATAAGCTATTCAAAAACCAAATTCTTCTATTCTTCTATTCTTCTAATACATCAAGACAACTTGTTCGCTCTCTAACTGTAGGATTCGATTTCCAACTGACTAATGGCCTTGAAAAATATTTGAGAGTTCCTCTGTTGCATGGTAGGGTGAGGAAACATATTTATAGTCATATTATCGACCAAGTTAAACAATGTCTGTTTGGGTGGCAGACAAAATATCTTTCTTTAGAGGATCATGCTTGTTCAATCAGTTTTCTCTATTATATCGATTTATACAACACAAATGGCTACATTTCCTATTTCAGTTTGTAAAGAGATTGATTAGATTTGTCGAGGCTTTATTTGGAGATTCCAACAAGATGAACAGAAGATACATCTACTCAGTTAGGACAAAATTTGGTCATTGCAGTCTTATGGGGGTTTGGGTATCAAGAAAGCTAGAGATAATAATGATGTTATGCCGATAAAACTAGGATGATAATTGATAGTCTTTGGATGTGATTCATGAGGTCTAAATACAACTTTGATGCGGAACACTTTTCCAAAGAGCTTAAGAGCATTAATGGATCTACTCTTTGGAGAGTTATCTGTAATACTTAGTAAAACATCCTTCAAGGACTTTCATGGTCTATTGGAGATGGTAACACTGTACAATTTTGGCTTGATAGATGGTTATTGCACGACATGGTTCTGATTGCATTTTTATATAGTGTACAATAGGCATGGACGAAGTTCCAACAATTCTTACTTTCATTTCCTTGTCTCCAAATTGCTAGGGTGTTGTGCCCACATCCTTTATTGGGAGATGACCGTGTTGTTTGGGGTGCTTTCTTTTGTACAAACTTCTCAACTAAATCAGCCTGCTCCGTTCTTTCTAATACTAAAACTATAGTAGAGGACAAACTCTAGAGCCTTATCTAGAGTTGGCTGTGACCCCAATGGGTTCGGTCCCTCTTTTGGTTAGCAGAACATGATTGAATTCTTATGAACTCCCAGCGCTATATGATAGATGGTAGCTGATAGTTCTTGTTCATGATGTGAGGGCCCGATGGAACATACAATTCATGTTCTTTGTGATTATCCTTTCGTTAAATAGTTTTAGGAAGCAATCTCCATCCTTTATTTTGCTTCTAATTTCTATTCTATGTCATTACTGGATTGGCTCAAAGCAAACGTGAACTCTACTCTTGTCTGTGTTTCTAACTCTCCATGGACAATCTACACAATCTACTTTGGAGTGATCCGTTAGAGCTTATGGAATTCGCAGAATAGGAGTATTTTTTATCCTAACTTCTCCTTGCTGTGTAATATCTTGCATGGGATCCTTTTTGTGTTTGGAAGAAGTTAAGAAAGCGGCTAATGACATCCAAAAATATATTAATCCTAAACCATCTAAACTATAAATAATGATCTCGTAGCTACCTCTGAAAGCATAGTGGATCAAACTTAACCTAGATGGCTCTGTTAAATTACACGAGGGATGTGCTTTTGCAAGTAGAGTCATAAGGGATGGTATCGTTGCATGGCTTGGAGGGTGTTTTCTATATTCTAGGAATTTGTTCTATTAACAGAGCAGAGTTATCGATGATTTTTGCACGTTTACAAACTACTTGGAATATGAGATTCAGGAAAACAGAATTGAAATCAGATTCTAAAACCAATTTAGCTAATTCATAACCTTTCATATATCAATCATGGCATTGTTCACCTAGTCACATCGATTCGATTATTACTGTAATGTTTTTTGCTGGTTTGAACTATTTTCATTTATCAAGAGGCAAATCGTTGTGCAAATTAGTTGGCAAATCTTGTCTTCTCATTGTCATTAAGTCTGCATTGATTCCTAAGTATTCCACCTGATTGTTTTTTTTTAAAAAAAATTTCTATTATTTTAGATAAACGAGAAAACCGCATTCCTTTCGCAGATTGGGTTGGCCATCTCCTCCAATGCCTGAACTAAAGTTAGGCATAAGAAATTGGCTAAATGGGTAAAACTTTCTGAAGCTTTTAATTTTAGATTTAACCTATCATCAACTTTATTCTCTTTTTTCGTGAACTTTATTCCCTTTTTTCAGATTTAATTAATCCTATAATTTCTAGTTGTCTCACTCTTTAAAAAAAAAATCAATTTTTGAAATTTTGAACTAAATTTAACACACTTTAAAAAACTCCCAGCTTATTTTCTGGGAAAAAAATGATTTTTTTAAGGTAAAAAATTTTTTATTATTATCTTTTGAATATTTAATAAAAACTATAAAAAATAGGAAAAACAAAAAAATAATCCAAAATAATTACAAAGTTTTTGAAAAACTTCAGATAAATCATTCTGAATAATTTTCATCATACAACTATTTATGTGATCAATTATAAAAAAGTTAAAAAATAGACTAAATCTAAAAAAATTAAAGTTAAAAAAAAAAATCAAATCCAAAATTAAAAGTTTTAGGATTGGTTTTTAGATAGACTAAAATTCAAAGATGGTTAGACCATTTTAACCTAACAAATTTACCATAATAACCTCCAAAATTTCACGAAAAATAAAGCTTCATGCCTTTACAACCAACCAAACAAACATTAGACTATCAAAGCATTCAACACTCGTACAACCATCTCTGCATCTCTAAATCCTAAGGGTTAAAAACATTTTTACATTTCAGACGAACTGACGTCATCCAGGGGCATGTCCCACAAACACACAGGTACCTCTTTACATGAACCTGGGGTTAGGAAAAAGGGAGGCCAGTCAGACGATCACTGGCCAGACAGGAGAGACATGGTCCGAGAAAAATCTAAGGATTTCAGAGCGGAATCGGGGAAGCGTGTTCCATTTGGTAAAATCAATCCACCCTCATGAGGTAGCAAGACATTTCGCTGGTTAACACCACCTTCACCAGCCTTTGTTGATGAAACTTCCTGCATTTGCTTCACGTGTTTGAAGAACTCTGCAACTTGGCGCGCATAGCTTCACAAAGGACATTATTAAACAAATTAGTCCAACAGCACAGGGGGCTTTATTAATCAAAGTATGTATAACAATTTTCAGAATAGCTATGATGATAAACTTCCAATCAATATTTTAGTCATGAATTCAACATGTCTTCATTTGTTCCTGCGTACATGCACAAGAGAGAGTGAGTGTGTGTGTGTGTTGCTTCATATGATAGCTGTAGAGTACCCTGTTCAGTGTTCTGTCATCTTTTTTGTACCATATTGTTGAAGTCTCAACTTATGAGAAAGAAGCTGTACAATAAACTTAAATTTCCTGCTCCTGTGCAGCAGGCATACACTCAAATCTATTCTTATATAATAGGGCCATTCTCTAATTTGTTTTTATATCCCTAATTGAGTCAATTTTATCCTTAAATATACATAATTTATTCTTCTGGCAATCTTTTTTAAGCTAGACCGCCAAAATTTTCACATTATATAGACATGGAAGCCTTTCGTTTGCCTAGCTTACAAGAGCATTTTGGAAACAAACAGAGTCACGTGCAAATCACGTGACTAATTCTGGTGATATTAGATTAAAAACTTAACATATATTCAAGGATAAAATTAACTCAATTAGGAATATAAAGACAGATTGGAGAATTACTTAATAGTATAAGAACTGATTGAGCTATTGACCCAAAATTAAAATATAAACTTTAAATATACTCAATTCAGTAACATGATTCACAATGCATGGGGTTTACATACAGCAATTCAATGCCACATTATAAATAAATTGGCTTTATGCTTGTGCAACAATTAGGGAGAAAAGAATAGTACTAACAGCTTCCAAAGATTTGGCCAATAAACTTAAAGTGAGTGTCTGGTAACAGTTGTGCATGCTGTATTTCTACAGAGAAGGAAGGACTGTTAACACTTAGTGGTGGTATGCCACAATTTGCAGTTATCTAGGGTTTGTTAATTGGAGCACAACTCTAGTTCAAAAGCAACTTTGCAGGATAAGATATTTTATTTTATCCAAAGACCTTCTAAGTTGATTTATTATTGTTCCTACAATGGAGAATGCCTATTATAGGGGTTTTTTTGGCATTTCCTACCTTAGAGAGAATGACTATTCTCCTTGTTTTAATTCATCATTGTTTCTTTTAATAAATTTCACTCTCTATCTAAAACATCATATGTATAATGGAAAGGGTGACAATCGTTAAATAAGATAACATCCACATTTCTGCTCATAAGATAAGACATTTCAATTAGTAAGACATTTAAGTGAGTGATTGCTATCTTACTTCTCCTTAGCTTCAACATCCCTGCTGAAGTCAATGTTGGCTTCGCAATCAAGAATCAAAGCAGGGACCTGCTCAGAACATATGCAAATTAAGCCAGTGTTTCTTTTTAATCCTGTGAATTTCAAAGGAAAGAATATGCATTTGATACCTTTTGAATACTTGAATGCATATGATCACCTTCCAAATAAAACACCCTGTCTTTTATATCTGGATGTAGGGAATTATCCAGATTTAGAGGTAGCTTACTCACAGAAAGTACCCCATGATTACCACTTTCAAATGGGAAAAGCCAGCTCTCATGCTTTTCATGCAAATCACGAAGATAATCTAGGCTGACTCCACCTTCTTCTTCTCTCTTCCTAAGCATCATTCTCTTGTGGCAAGTATCAGGGCTTGCTCTAAGGTAGATAAAAGCATCAGGAATAAGCCCAGGCAAAACTGAGACAACTGGATCAAACCATGAGTCATAAATGCTGATCTCCATTTCATTCATCCACTTTGCCTCATGCACAGCTCGTACAAAGACCTTTATCAAGAGTGAGATTAAAATGTATCAGCCTTGAAAGACATAAATCAGGTTTTTGTTCCTCTAGCATGGGATCAACCAAATGAGAAAGAAATGTAAGGTTTTTAATCCTTGTTTGATATCAAACTTAGACAAAAATTCAAAGTCCTTAGATCACATCACTAGGGATGTTAAAAACCAGCATAAAAATGAATTACATCAGTTTATCACTATTTGCCAACTTTAAAACCATAATTTAATGGATGCTTACCATTCTGTCACTGAAAACACTTCTTTCCATCAACCTGAGTGGCTTCAACCCACCAGATGATTCTCTTTCCTGCATAACCCTTGTGACAAAAACATAATTCTGGAAGGTATAGGCATACCTTGATGGGTCAGCATAGAAAGCATCCAGTATATTAAAGTGGTCAGGTCCAACATCCTGCCACTTATCAATGGGTTCAGGCACCACCTCAACAAGATCTCGTAGCTCAATTGTATCACTAACTATTCTCTTAAGAAACGTTGTCTTCCCAACACTGATATTTCCCTCAACACAAATCGTGAATCGCTTCTTAGATGGCCTTGCATCTGAATTTATATCCTTTAACTCTTCATCCACGCTCTGTTTAATGAAAGTTGTTATGCTCTCAGCATGATTTTTGTGAATAATTCCAACAGAACTCTGTAAATACTCAACCATTGTCTCGCTGGATTTTCCAAGAAACTACAACAGGTGAACCAGAATTCTAGTTAGTAACTTGGTAAACGGCAGAAAAAAGAAACACCATCTCCAACCATTCAGGGAAATTCCCTCCATTCACATCAAACATAGAATTAAACATTCTCTGTTGAATCCACAATTACAGAATTTAGGGCATTAACCATTCAGGGAAATTCCCTCCATTCACATCAAACATAGAATTAAACAAGCCCATTTTAGACATGACATGGATAAAAGACCACCTTTAATAATTGAATTGTAGTTTGCAACGGTTAGTATATAGCAAACAGACAACATTTTCATCTATACAATTACGTTTTCTCTGTTCTCATCAAAACATGACAGTGAAACTTAATCTTTTAAGTTGTTTGTTCAACTCCATAGCTGTTAAAATGGGACCAATGACAATCATTGAGCCTAATTAGGAAATGATTCTGATGAATCATGCACTCCTATAGTTATAAAATTCTAAAACAACTGAAATTCAGCAAAATCAGCACCCAAAGGAGCTGGTTTTCATCAAAAAAACAAAAAAACAAAAACAAAACCCCATTTTGACTTTCCTCAATCTGAACCTAAAACCCACCAAACCAATACTTCAACCACAACAAACAAACCCCAAATTGAAAATCCAAAAAACTTCGAAAACAACCACATTTTTACACAATAACACCAAAAATCAACAACAACAAATACAATACCATTACCTTATCCTTATAAAACTGCTTAAGCTCAGCCATTACTGTAAACCCTTTCTCCACCAATTTCCTAAAATTCTTCGGCCCTACACCAGGAATTGTCAACAAATCAGCATTCCCCTCCATATCACCACCCGTTCCCTTCTGCCTCCTACTCAACCTCGCCACCTTTTCCTCCACTCCCTTTTCACTCTTTTCATCTTTTCCTCCCTCATCTCCATCCCCACTACTCCTCACACCTTCAGCAGCCGCCGCGGCTGCAGCAGTCACACCAGGCCCTTCCTGCTCACTAGCCACCGTGCAATACCACGCCGGCCGTGCCACCACCCATGCCCTTAATGGGGTAGTTGTTTTAAGCCCAAAAGCGCAACGGCAAGTGCTGTAGGTAGTTGAATAGACGCGAGTGGGCAGTGTGGGTGTCACGGTGAGTTTCTTGGCCAGAGAGGCAGCTAAAGAGGAAGTATTACTGTAGAAATTAGTAGCAGCAGGCATTGAAAACGAAGAATGGTGGTAGGGTTTTCTAAGGTGGGGTTTGTTTTTGAAGAGAAAATAATCAGTAGAAACAGTAGTACAGAGGAGGGGGCTTGAAGGGTTTCTTTGTAGCAACTTCTGCATCCCTCCTAACAAGCATTTCAGTTCACTTCCTTCTCCTTTAAATACTCTCGTCTGTCTGTCTGTCTGTCTATGTCTGCATATAATATGTGTACGGAAGAGTCAGGGGAGGCGGGAAGGTGAAGGGATGGAGTAGTGAGACTGTTCTTTAGAGGTGAAAAAGGGGTTGCTAATTGGGGGGTTTTGAGGGGTTTTGTGTTGTTTTGTTTTTGCCTTAGGAAGGTGGATTTTAGGGTTTGGCTTGAGGTTCTGTCTTTTGTTTTGGTCTGTTCTTGGGAGGTTTATTTTGTTTTGGGTAATTAAGGAATTTTGTCTTGGGGTAGAGCTTGGTATCACGGATTTAGGGAAGAGGGATTTTGATTTTTGGCAGACAATCAGAATACCATCCTCTCTTTCTTCCGTTCTTTCTACCTAGGAATACTAACTGTGACAAAGATTTCTCAACAATGGTCCTTTAGAAAAATAGAAAGGTCGGAGACTATTCTGTGCAGCAGATCGCACCGCACCACATTATTATTATTATTTTGTTTTCAATTAGATTGCACCAGATTCCATTCCTGTCCAGGATTAATTATAGGAAAATGATTTTGACCCGTTACTGCTTTCAACGTAGTTTCTGTATTCGGTTCGACTCCGTGGTTTAATGTAGAAACCGGCTAGTAACTTAGAGATTATGTCGGTGCTTTCAATTAGTTGAAACGTATTTCGCCCCATGGCTAAATTATATTGTATGTGAAATATCTGTAAATTTTAAAAAATAATAATAATAATTTAACTATCATGTATTGTTTTTTTATTATTTTAAAAATATTTTAAATCTAAAATTGTGATATAAAAATTCAGATTAATCATTTATTATTCGATCAATTATACAAAATTAGTATAGTTATCTCATGAGTTTTCGATATATACAAGAATTCAAAATTAAGATAACTTTACTTAAACAATTATAACATTTTTCGTTTAAACCAGTCTTATTGAATATCATGTAATGTGTTTTTTTTTTTAGTAAATAACAAACTCTTTCTTCAATTCTTAACAATGATAGCATATAAACTTGGACACGTGATTTGGAAAAAAAAAATTAAAACACAAGAAAAGAGATAAAAATACAATCTGAAAAACAATTACAAAAAATAAAAACAGAAAAACTCTTCATATTCTCCCTCAATGTCAAGCGCTGCAAAGTCCAAACGCAATTCTCCCTTACAAAACCATGCATAACATCACAAACCCATATCAAATTCTACAACTCTTCCGCAAGATCCAGCCCCCAAACACAGTTCTTCCTTACAAAACCTTAAAATCACAAACCCATATCAAATTCTTCAACTCTCCTTCAAGATCCAACCCCACCATTCCCCTTTGCGTGAAAGCTCATAGACACTACAAGCCCCACCATGGCACGTCAAATCTAAGGTTGAGGGACCAAACAAAAACCACAAATGTCGCTCATTGCTTGAGGGATTTCATGAGAACTTACTGATAAAGTTTCAGCCTTTTTAGCATGGAATATATATATATATTCTCTAGAAATTAAAAGGGTCATCTGCAATCGTCTCTGTTGATTTGTTTGATTAAGAATAAATTTGGGTTTAAAGGTTTTGAAAAAGACATGGGTTTTACCTAAGTTTTTAGGTAATTCTCTAGAATTCAAATGCAACGAGAGAAGAATGTGTATTGGGTGCCTGGATTTGATTTTCATCACTGAGTGGTTTGATTTTTTATTTTTTTCCCCAAATCTTTTTTTCTCTTTCCTTGTTTATCCAGGGGATTCTCGTGTAATTTACCCTTCACCCCTCATTGATCAAGACATAATCAATCAAAAGCCGACCATAAAAGTTGATTTAAAAAAAAAAAAAATTTCTGTTGTTTTGCCAAAAAAAAGAAAAGAAAAGAAAAAGAAAAAAATAAATTGAACCAATGATTCATGGGTTGATTTGGTGACTCAGTAACCCAAGCCTTTGCCCGGATCAGGTCTTTTCTTTTTTATTTTCTTAAAAAAGTCAATTATCCATACATTGTTGTGGATTATTAAAAAAAAATTATTTATTAAACATTATATATTTAATTCCACAAACCAATAGATTAACACTACTTAATAATTTTAAAAAACAAAAAAATTACACATTATTTGTAATTAAAAAATGAATCTATACGAATTCTCACACAAAAACTATTCAAATATTCTATTTAAGAGTATCAAAATAAAATTAAATAAATTTTTAGAAACTTTAGAAAAAAAAAAGAAGATAAATATTTAAACCTTATTAAAAGCTTGAGATTTAATATAATTCTATGTGACAACACGGAATCAAGAAAATGACAAAAGCTTAAGATTTGATATACACTAGCCATATGTAGGGGTGAGCAAACGGTTAAACGAGTTCGATTTTGCATAATTCGGTTTGGTTTTCGATTAACCGAATTAAGAAAAATCAAAACCGAAACCGAACCAAAATAAGTTCGGTAAATTCGGTTTTATTTCGGTTCGGTTTCATAAAATTTCGGTTTTAAGCTGAAATATTTTACTCGTAAAAAAAAAAAAAAAGAAGTCGCATCAACCAAGCGAGTAACTAACTTCATTCAACAATTGGAAATAGTATTATGAACTGGGAAATTTTGGTGCCTATTTAGAAATTGAATATCCAAAAATATGTGGGAAAGAACATAGAACTTGTGTGGAAACATTAGTTTCTAATTTAACCATATTGTTTTTAAATATGTCAATTAAAAATATGTCAATAATAATATATAACTATAAGATTTTCTTATTAACATAGCAGATTGGTTATTCTAAAATTTCCTCATTTATAAAAACATCTCTCACCATAATTAACATTCCTAAATAATCTTGTCCCAATATTCATACTCAAATTCTAAGTAAAAATTTTCAACATTCATAAATTTAACATTATTATATTTATTATTTTAAAATAAATATTCATTTAAAGCATATCCTAATTATTAGAAACACACAAAGGTAGGCACATGAGTCACTCGGTCACCGAGAATAACATCAACGTCCTCAACATTTGCATCATTACCTACGCCACATAATGGACGTGAGATGCGAATATCCCAATAAGTGTAACATGCAAGATTTTTTTATATTAAAATTTTTATATATGAATGTCTTTAAAATTCTTTTCCTTGTTTTGCCCTACTTGAAGATACTAACATTGGTTAGTAGGGTCTAGTCTCAATAAAAACATGTATAAAAACATTAACCTCAATATTTAATAGTCAAACCTCAACCTTTAAACTTGAATGTTTATGTCTCGATAGGCGACCTCAACTTTTAAACTTCAACATGTATTCAAAAATGACCTCATTCGTACACTTAAAATATTTTCTTTCAATAAACATATAAAACATATGTATGCATATGAATGCACCTCAAGACCATCATATCACATCAATCATATAAAAAAAATACAAAGCATTTACATCTATGGTGTAGGTGAGTTACACTTACTTGATTCGCTTAAAATCATTGTCTATCATAAACTTTCTCTAAAATCGATACCTCGACTTGATTCAATACCTTAAATATACACACCATATAACATAAGAAATTGAATATTATTATTTTATCTCTAATCATTTAATTTTTTTATTAATTCCTATTCTTTTTTTTTTTTTGTAATTTCTTTTAAATTAAAAATCCTAATTGAATCATCAACTTTACTCTAATTTATTCAATTCTCCTCCTATTATATTCATATAATCTAATGTTATTAAATTTTAACTTACCCTTTTCAATTCTTATTTAGATACACTTGATCATCAAATATTCTCTAAAAATTTAAAATTTTAATACTAAAATATAATTTTAACATAATTAATCCTAAATCTTGAAATTTCCAACTCAATTCTACCTAAAATCATGTAGAAACTAATAAGTAAATTAAATATTTTTCTTACCTTAAATATTTAATCACCAAGACTTGAATCTTCTTTCAAATACCTTTGATTTCACTTCTTACTCAATTATATTCTCTCTCTCTCTCTCTCTCTCTCTCTATTAAGTATAAGCTTATGAAATGGCTTTCCTAAATGAGGAGAATGACACCCTATATATAGGCATAGAAAGTTGAAACATTTGAGAGTTTTAAGTGCATGAATTAAAAATAATAAATTGCTTTCTTTCATAGCCATTAACCTTCTTCTTTTATGGACACTTTCTTTTCTTTCGTGGCCATTCATATCTCCTCTTTAATTTTAATATATATTTCAAAATTTTTGCTCTTCTTTCATAGCCACTAACATTCCATTTAAAAAGCTATTAAAACTTATTTTTATTTTATTATTTATTATTACTATTGTTATTATTATTATTACTATTTTAATTCTTTAATTCCTAATAGCCTAGGTTAAAATTGTAGGACTAGTTCCTATCTATAAAAATACAATTTATAATATCAAAAAATATATATTATATTTTAAAACTTCATTCCTAATCATCACATTCTCTAAACACATAAAAAAAATATTAAATTGCATACACAAATAAAGCACATTTGTACACATATCCACAATATTAAATTATATACATAAATAAAATACATTTGTACACATATATACAATATACTATCATGCAAAGGTTTTAGGTATTACGGTATTACACTTTGGTCTCTATTTTTTTAAACATTATTTTTTCGATTTGTGATATTTTTTTCATTTTAGTCCCTCTTTTTTATTTCATTTTTGTACTTTGATCCTTGCTTTTTTTTCTTTGATTTTTTTAATTAAAAAATTTAAGGAAAAATGTTTAGAAAAAATAACAATTTAAAAAATAAGTTTTTAGCTAAAAATATATTTATTTCGACATTTTTCCTTACATTATAATAAATTTTTTTAGTTAAGAATGTGAATAG